ATTTCAATGAATATTGTGGTTTCTACAAAGAAGTCTTTAGTAAATGAAAATATATCTCAAATATATAAAGTCTTGTATATTTTAATATGATTTTAACAATTCTTAATTTATTACAGATATAAATATATGAAAAGGTTTTGAAAAAATCGTCAAATTTAATATAATTATATTTCTATCTTACTATTAGATACATTTATTTCGCCTTCAAGTATTTTCTCAATATAATCCAGGTTCACATGTTAAAAATATATTAGAGATATTTATATAATAGTACTTTATTGGTATATACAGATAAATGTACAAAATTTGTGCATGTTTGCAAGAGTATAATATAAATATATTGTAGTATTTTTAATTATTTATGTGTTTGTTTGTATATGAATGTGTGTCTAGGAATTATAGATGTATAAAGCATAAAATAATTTATAATAATTGAGCGCCTTTATAATGTAATATTACAAAAACATATATATACTTTTAATTATATGATACATTATTTTTTAATGATTTATGTGAATAAATATGTTTTTCTTTTACGAGATATCTTTTTGAGTGCTTTTAATTATAAAAAATAGAATGATCTTATATATTATTCTAAAAATTGCTATAACTTTATGTATTTTTTTTTTTTTTTTTTGTGTACATATAAAAAAGACTCTCCATAGTTCTTTTTATTAAGTATTTTCCATTATATAATATTACATATATATATTTAAAGAGAGAGATATACTTTATATTGTGATCTACATATTATGGCCTGATTAATTATGCATTCAAAATTTCTTATTATAATATGTTTATAGGGTGTTGAATTAATATATATGTAAGTTTCTATTTCGTTAATTAATATTATATAATGCACATAAGTAAATGTTATTAATGAGTTAATGCTTTATTCGTATTTATGTATTTATTTTATTATATTGAACAATATTTAGAATCACATTTATAAATGTTGTCACACTACAATATATTAGATATGTGAATATTACACTATAAGTAATTTTAAAAATCACATTATGTACGTTTACACTACTGAAATATATAAATTTTTTATCCTATATGTAGTATTTACATCCATGTATCATTTATCATATAATATACTATATGTGATTACTCTTTTTTTCGTATACATTTTTTAAGTATCTTAAGTAAAATTATATTCTACATCGTAAGGTTCGTTCTCTAATTATTTGTATAAAAAGTGAGAATTAAAACTTATTCAATTTTTTTAAAAACTTATATATTTAATAATACATTTATTTACTCTATATTATACGTATATATATCCATGAAGAACTCAATTATATAAATATAATCTAAGAAACTCTAATATATTATAACGTTACATATATAAGATAGATATATTTTTAAAAATGCTTACTTATACTTTTAGACTAATATAAGCAATAATAAAATAAATGAACACTTCCTTTACTCATAATAAGTAAATATAATTATATTAATAGATATATAATAAATAATGAAGTTACTACTGGAATTACAATGTTATCATTATAAATGTATTTCGGGTTATTATTTATATCATTATAATTATATATAATAAAACACCTATATAAATATTTTTTTATATTTTCTGTTTCATTTTTAAAGTAGGTGTTTAATAAATTAATGACATATTTTTATGAATGTTTTTATATATGAAGTAAATAATAGAGTAAACATATTTAACACTCCTATTTGGCTTATGATACACTTTTTAAATAATGATGCAGGATTAATAATTTTCCACACAATTATATATTGGATATTTCAATATATATTTTGTTCATTTACTTGGCTGTTATATAAATACCAAAATCACTGATAAAATTTTTGTAAAATAATAAATTTAACAATTCGTGTTCTTAAGAAAGAAATAATATAGTTAGTGACACATGTAATTAAGTATAGGAACTATGTGAGAATTATTTTGATATATAGGCATTATATATGATATGAAATGCTCATTTTTTAACAGAAAATTTTGTAAAACTCTTTACAATTATGTTCAAAATAGACATATTAATTTATGAATATATATAGTACTAAAAAGATTAGTACTCACAGTAACATATTTATCTGATGCATATTAAATTTTTGAGATAAAAAAAAAAATTAATTTTACATATAATTTTATTTTTAAGGGTATTTTTAAAAATATTGTCGTAACCCAGTATATTTTTTTTATGCATTATTTTTTCTATATGTTTTTTAATGATAAATTGTATAATTTATTATATATCTATATATACACTGCTAAAATAATTCATTATATATAAAGAGATTCAACATGTCATATGTAAAAGGCAATTATGAAATAATACATTTATCCTAATCTTTACTGTACATATATCCAAGAGTTTTACATGTAATACTTATAACGTATACATAATTGTGTGTACATTTTGATAAAATTATTCTAATAATATACAAGGACTTTTTTTATTAATAAGTAAAAATAAAAGAATTTTAATAATAAATGGATTTCTAAAAAATATGCACAATTCAACATTATAGTCGAATTTTTACACAAATTATATGTGTTTTTTGAATAATCAAGTTTATCTAGTTTTCATTACGTTACTATTCAAATTATGATAAAATTATAATGCTTATAATTTACATCAAAAGACTATATACATTGTACACATTTTGTTTTAAGCATAACTTACATTGTTATAATACCATTGTAATTATAATTTTTTCACTTTACATACTTCAACATTTTTATATACTGTAACAAATATATGTAATTAAAGTATTCACATAGTGAATAATATATATGTCCATAAATTATAAAATGTATATAATTTCCTAATTTTTGTTTATATTTAATATAAGATGCACCTTTTGTTGCATGGTTTTTTTCTATAATGATATATATTCAGATTTCGCATATTATTATTTGCGATAATTTTTGTATGAGTGTATTAATATACCATATGTATTTAAAAAATGTATAAAAAAAAAAATGTTTTTTTATTAGAAGCATAACCAACATGCATATATTATTACATTTTTTTATTATCATTTTTGCGTATAACTAGTTAATACAAATTTAAATACAGTAAGTTGAAATAACATATTTTTACATTGGCATTTTATGATTACCTAACAGAAGTATATTTAACGTTATAGTTCTTTTCATCAAGATCTCCACCATCTCTTTCATACTTGTATGTTATATATTCACATAATTTGTCATTCTTATCTTTCTTTGATTACTAAAGCGTAATTTCTTCCAAGATTCATTAAACTAATTATAGAAATGATATAATAACGGATTATTAAGAATAATTCACTTTAGAAATAATTTATTGTTTAAATGTAATATAGAAATAAGCATAATATATGTTTATTTCAAATATAAATTATTATTAACTTTATAGAAATATAAAGAAATTGTTCCTATTATTATGGTAATAAGCACCGCTGTTATTATAACATATTTATTGGTATTACTTCTAGCAAATATTTTAACAGAATCTTTTTCTAAATAAGTCCTTTCTTCATATTCCGTTTTTAAATGAGTCTTTTCTTCTTGTTCTGTTTCTAAATACGTAATTTCTTTGTGTTTTTTTCTGAATTCATCGATTCTTCATGTTCTTTTACTGATTGTCTGTATGACTTGTAAAACAATTCATAAGACCGGATTCTCTTGGAGTCTGATTATCATTAAATTCATTCCTGCACTTTTTACTGGATATCGATTGATTACTTTCAAATATGCATCTAATATTATATAATTTGTTAAGAAAATCATTATCCTCAGCATCATTAAGTGTTGTTATGAATTTATTAGAGTTATCAATAAAAAGTACAATATAATCACATAATGCATTACCAGGATGTTTATTTCTGATCCAATTAATTATAAACCAATACATATTATATACATTATAATGTTTTTTTATTTTTTCATATTTGCTATCGTCAAGGATATTTGTATGGAAATTACATTTCTTTAATTTTGCGACAGAATTATGATTATTAACATATTTAATCAAATAATTAAATATATTGTGAACATCATTTTTATGTTTTCCTTCAATTTCTGTTTTTATCCAATATTTAATATAATTGCAAATTTTATTGTTATCACTTAAATCAATCGAGTTAATATTGTCAAAATATTGTTTTAATATCCAACAATAAGCAGAAACTATTGGTTTTATTGTACCTATACTGTTCACGCTATTAAAAAATTCTTCAATATTTTTATCGCTAACTGACTCCTTAGGAAAATTAGGGATTTTACCGCTGTATAATTCATAATCATTGTAATCCAAATACTAATAAAAAATATATAAATTATAGAATATATACGTATTAATTTAAATGATATATAAGTAATATTATTGATAAATTGCTAAAACAATCCATGCATGGAAATAAGTTATTATTTTGCATTATAGAAATATATAAAATATACGATTAACTACTTACATCAATTGACATTGTATGCATAAAAAAACAAAAACTAGTTTAATATTAATATTATTTTACTTAAAGATATTGAACATCCGATAAAATTAAATATTTTTTGTATCGTGAATTTCTATCATTAATTTTAATATATAATCATGTAATTTATTATAAATTGCATTTATATTAATATATATTTCTCTAATATAATTTGTAATTAAGAAGTTAGGAATCTTGTATAACAAGCACGAAAGTAAACTGATTCATCAATGCATATAGTTAAAACAGATATATAATAAACATATAAATATGAAAATATTATTAATATAAATATATCATAACTATAATAATGCTTTACTCATTGAAATAAATGTTTCATATACATAATACATATACAATGAGAAATATATATTATGATAAATATATATGATTCTTTGAATAAGAATTATACATGTATTAATGATAAATATTTTATAATATAATGAGTTAATTACTATGATTTCTGTTATATAATATTAGTACAGATATTATGGGCACGTACTTTAAAATTAAAACAATTACTATAATTTTATTCCTACAGTGTTCTATAGTAAATATATTTATATTAATATGTATCATTATATTGTAAAATAAAATAGATATGTAAATATAAAAATATAATATAAATTAAATAGTGCGCTTACCCGAAGAATTTTATAATTATACAAAAAAATATTTATTATATAACTCTAACTAAAATGTTATATTAGAATATAATGTAATATATTTTTTACACTAAATTTAATGATTAGTCATTTGTTCGAATTATTTGCTTTACTATTAATAATATATTATATTTGTGAATATAACTATTTAAAACAAGGAAACACATGTATTATTTAACAATATATAAGACTATAAGAAAATATACTACGGATAGCATAAAATAATAAAAAATCATGTATAAAAAGAATAATTAAAATAAAACTCATTTGGGGATAAAAATGTTATATGTTTCCTATTTGTTTTATAATAAATGATAAATAAAAAAAAATATATATAATAAATATAATACATCAGTATATCAGTTATAATACGTGTAAAAATTATTTAACAATATATTTATTTTAAAATGTGTGTATAATAAAAATAAATAAGCCTATATTTGTAATGAACATATATATATAAATTATATATAGTTATGTTTCTATAAATGAATAATAAAATTCGATGATGTTATTATATACAAAATATATTTACGAAATATTAATGCTTATAATTAAAGCAAATATCTCCTTCATATTAGTTTAGTAAAATATTATTCTTATATATATATGTACAAATTAACCATTTAATATTCCTGATCTTTATTATATTATGGTATAAATTTTAACAAATTAAAAAATTCTATAATTTAATTTAATTCAATTCTTGAATTATTAATTCTAAAATACATTAAGATTTTATTTTTATTTATATATTTAGATTAAGTACATATTTATTCACATCAATTATGTATTTATTTTCTTTTTTTTGTGAATTTAACACGTATAGTATATGTTATTATGTAATCAGTTTATAATAATATATATTTATTCACAAGAATATTTTTCACTTATTAATAATATATAAATTATTTGTATTATTTACATAAAATATTGGAATTATTACGATAAGCATTATTATTTTATTTATATATTTCTAATATTTAGTTCGTACATTATATATATAAATTATATTTATTTTTAATAATAGATATACATGATATAAGACAATATAATTTTATCATTATTATTTATTTAGCGTTGAAAATAACCTGACATATATGTTATGAATTATTGTTTTTCTGGTTTTACTTGTTTATGATATTATATATCAATGCATAATAATTAACTGTTATTAGAAATCATTCAGCAGAAATAAATATTATACATTTCATATATATTTTATGTTTATATCTAAACATAAGTAATGGCATATAAAATGAAATTATTACAGGTTTACGTCCTATATGAGATTATATTAAATATATTTATTTTTTTTAATATTTTATATAAAATACACACTCTGTGTTAACAATATGAAAAAATAGTAATTATTACACATGCTAAGAATCAATAACTTTTTTTTGATATTTACCTGATAATATGATAAAATATTTTCGATGAATAACTATTTGTTTATGTATTTAAAAATGACTTATAATTTAAAAAGTTATATTATTGACACATAATTTATATGCATAGGAGTAAATAATGATTTTTATATATAATTGTTTTATACTATGATAAAGAAACTAGAATATTTATTTTATAAAAAAAAACATTTTATAACCTTATTATGTGTTACGTGTTTTTTTGATGAACATATATATAAAAATAGTTTATACATTAATATTATATTTCATGAATATTATAACTTGAAAAACATGGCACATTTAATATTAGATGATGCATTTATTCATGTTTTACTATAAGATATGAACATAAAATATGGAATTATATATATAGTATTTATTGATAATGCTTATTATTCAAAGGAAAAGAAACAAATTGAAATTTGTAGATAATTAAAAAATAACTAAATATTATGTTATTTTATATACAATGTATTCTAATCTGTATAATACATTTAATAAAACCACACAAAAATATATTATTAAATAACTAACCTTATAAATGTTAATATAAAAACATTTTATATATTTTTAAATACATAATTATACATCTTAGTGTTCCCATATAATTATATATGCAGAAAATAAAAACGTTATTTAATTATAGTTATATATATGCTTCATTAGAATTTTACGGATATTTATATATATTTCATAAATAATATTAATAAAATAATATTATGCTTGAAATACATTAGAACAGAATTATATAGGCTTCTTTGCTAGATTAAGCGTTTATATAATAATTCTATAAAATTAATTTATTCCTGTATTATTAACTCATTTAATAACAGTAAAAATATTATTCAATTAGATATATTTTTTTAACATCAAATAATAAAAAATTTCCTGAAAAAAAATATATATTTTTTTGGAAATTATTATATGTTGTCTTTTTTAATTATATTATTTTTACTTCACATTTATGTTAAAGTTGAATTATATAAATATGCATAAGCTACTTAATTATTAAATACATAATGTTATAGGTATATATATTTTAATTAATTAAATCATTGAGAACAATGAGTATTTATTTTTATAATATATATAATATTTTATGATCTATATTATGTTTAAAAACGTGTCTTACTGATGTATTATTTTATCACATTTAATTTTTGTATGATGCATATATATAAATGTATATTTCAAAGTATACAATATTTATGCATACTAATATATTGCAAAGATTTCTTGATATTCTAGCATATGAAATCTTGATTAAATGCATATAAAATATAAATTTATGCATTTATTAATATATGCTCTGTGATCTAATATTTTATAATAGTGCACTTAATTTTATATACCTTGCAACAATATGAAAGTGTGATTATAAGACTATATATTTATTCTCTATATATATTTTTTTATTATTTAAAGAATTATATATATCATGTGATACCTTTATATATTATATAAATGTCCCATAATATACTGAGATCAAGATAAAAATAGAACAAATATATATGTACATAACATATAAAAGACGGATTTTATATCTTTAATAAAAAAAATAATTCAGAATTATTTTAATATATTATATATAAATACATATTTTATCGTATAATTCTAATTTTCTAGAAACAGATATATGTTCTTATAAAACATTATTTTAGATACATGAAAATTGCTTATGTAGATAATAAAAATTACACATAAGGTACAATCATATTGTTATCTATAATGTTAATTAAAAAAAATTTATTATTATTGTTTTTATTTTTACTTCATGAGACATATTTAAGAAACTTTGTAAATTAAGAGTTAGTGATTTAATTATATTAATAAACTTAGTTAAAATTACTGAAGGAAAAAGGATTAATGGTGGAACACTAAATAATTCTATCATTGTATTTCCTGTATTTTTATTGTACTAAATATATTATATTATTAATAATTAGAAATTCATTAGACAATATATAATGCATTTATAATATATAGCTGTAATTGTTATAATATACTATAAATATAAGTGTATAAAATTTATGTATATGTGAAAACGTACAGATATATATGTTATGTAATAAAATTGCAAATTAAAGTTAATATATATTATTTATATTCTTTGTACTTCTTATACATATTGTAATTGATTATATATATTTACATAATATTATTTATTAATACATTTATACATCATTTTATTATAAAATGCTAAAAATGTCTATTTATTAATATGATATATTTAATTTTTAATTTTAAAAAAGGAGAATTTATATATATTTATTATATTCTGTTTTTCTATTTATAAAATTACCACTTATGTATTATGCATTGTTTCATTTGAGAACTATGAAAATTCAAAATTAATAATATTATATATGCTTAAATTTAATTGTTAGTATAATTATATTATATTTTCATTTTTGTTGTCCTATTATCCTATTGCATTAGCCAAAATTATAATTAATAGGATATAATTTATAGTTATTCATAGATTGGTCTTATAATATATTTATAGATTACATAAATACTTATTGTTCTACAAAATATATAAGTTTAAAAAATATATGTACTTATTGCAAAGATTATATAATTTAATAATTTGAAAAAACTATATTTATTTAGGAATATAATAATTTATAATAGTTCTATTTTTATGTAATTATGATTAATGCACTATAATTAATTTATTCTGAAATTTGGCACCATATTTTTCATTTATATATATATAATTTTTATTATATATATTATATGACCAGGTTTATAATATAAAATATTATTTAAATAAGCCAATTTTTATTATATCATATATAAATAAAAGACTTTATCATTAGTATTATTCATTACGTTCATGTTATTTCTGAGTCTATGAGAATGTAAAATTAAATATTAGTCATTAAATTTTAAGAGTCTATTTCAAATATACTCTTGGATTATGTCGTTTATAAATTTAGTTAACATGTTATTCAATTATTTTTTTTTGAATATATAATTCCCTTTATTGTATTATTCTGATAAAAAAAGAAAACCATATTTTATGAATATATCTTTATATACATATAAAGTATATTAGACTTAAGTATTTGTATATTTTGTATATTTATATATAATATTCAATAATTTTAATTGATACATACAGATTTCATACAGTTATTATTTCTTTATTGTTAGTCTAATTTTTGTTCATTATAAGGAAATATTTCAAACATTATATTTTGCTTATTATCTTAAATCATACAATAATTAGAATACTTTAAAATTTTTTCATCGTTCAAATGTAATTCATTGTTATTACTATTCTTTTTATTATTGTAATGAAAACATATTTTCTCTAATTTTATTGTGTATATGAAATTACGTTATATACATTAAATAATGTGTTCAGTTTTTTAATAGGATTCTGAGTAAGTATAAGACACCTGGTGCTTATTCTCACTTAATCTATCGAATTCTGTTTCATATGTATCTATTAAGCTTATATAATCCTTATTATTTTTGTTAAATTTTCTTCTTAACTTACTTATCATTGGTTGTAAAAAGGTACGATAAATAGTATACTTATAATGAAGAAGCAATATGATATAATAATGTGCTATTATTTTTAAATAAATGTTTTATAATTCTTTATAATGTAAATTTTAATACTATTAAATATTAAGTATATAAAAATTATTATTAACCTTATGTAAGAAACATGTAATTATTAATGTCGTAAACGAAACTATTAGTAATGTTATTATAATGATACCTGAACTTGTCCTAGAAGAACAAGGTGTGATTTCACATATTTGAGAAATTGGAAATAAATCTATCAAATATTCCATATTTTCTTCCTTAAAACGCTTTAATAATTTATGAAAACTCGTATTATTATAATTTTCAGACATCTGTACAAGTTCCTTGTATTTTTTATAACAATCACTAGAACGTAGACATGTAAAATTATTACTATAAAATATTTTATTTAATTCAGATAGTTTGTCAATTTTTGAAAATGTGTCATCATCAAGGTCATTAATATGAACCGCACATGTGTCATACATGCTCTTATATATTGTATTTTCTTTAACATTAATCATTGATTCGAAATTATCTTTAGTATTTTTTTTAGAAAAACCATAATACTTTTGAGCATAATTTAGTTCAAAATTTAAATATATACAATTTGATTTTATATCCATTATGAATGACTTTTTGATTACATAATCTATATAATTAAAAAGATCCTTGCAATATGACAGAAAATTTTGTTTATTTTCGCTAACTCCAACGTTACTTCTAAAATGTTGGCACTTGTTTTTAATTGCCTTATCATCACCTCTAGGAATTCTTGTTTGTATATAATATTCATAAAAACATGTGGGGAATATCTTACTAAAATCGAACTGAAAATGTAAGTTACAGAGTATACACTATGAAAACAATATGTAAAATATAAATCATGCTCATAATTTTTGTAATTCAGGTATATTTTAATTTTTATAATATAAATTATATTCATAAAAACAAATAGAAGTGTACATTATTGTTCGTTCCTGTACGTCCGTCCATTATGTAATATATGTATGAATTAAATTATGGGAAAAAATTAATATTTTTAGTAATACCTAGATACATTTGAAAAATGTGTGGGAATATATTATATTAGTGTAAAATAAATTAGTTTTTGTAAAATATATACTTCTGAAAATATTTTTAAATATTGATTAAATTTTGCTATATATCAAAATATAGTGTTAGTATTCAATATATCTAAGGAATTAATATTAACATATAGATAAATGCTAAGAGAAATAGACATATAACACTGGAATTATTTAATAAAATTGAATAATGAACCAAAGATTATAATATTTTTATAAATAGAAGATCATTGGATATATTACTAATTATCAATGTGACATTAAAATTAATATATTATTATTTAACAAAAGAATTTTTTCTGACTAAATATTTTTATACACAATAGATCTCAATAAAAATTGGATATAAATGTATATACGTATTTATATGGTAGTTTACAGCAAAAATATTTTCTTAAGAAATCATTTCATAATTTTCCATTATTAAATTAATAGATATTTATACATAGAAAAATATCTCATAAAAAAACGTGCGAATATTTTCTAAAACGCTATGGTGTATAAATAAATAATTTAGTATTATATAGCATTTAATATAACCATATGACCCAATATATTTTTTATATATATAAAATATACCGATTTTGTAGGAAGATATTTTCAAACGAATACAATTATTCAGTTAAAATAAGTTTAATATATATATTAATACGTGGAGAATAATAAAATAACAATTTTCAAATATTATATATTTGAATATTTTACATTTATAGTTTTTTTTTATAAATTGTTTATTGTAACAAAAGTTTTCATAAAAATGATAATATTTTAAGAAAAAAATGTTTATTTTATTATATAATGAATTTGTTTAATTTTTATATTAAGATATTATCCAATATGGAATTAATTTTTTTTTAGTATATTTATATTACACATTATAAAAAATATATACTACAATTATGTTAAAGCAAATATATTCTGCACTTCATATGAAACCGGTATTAAAACGTAGAATTTAATTTATAAAAGTTTAGTTCATTAAAAATTAGATATATATTTTTTTCCTTTTTCTAGGGGTAATATAAGGTATATAATTTTTATGCACTTTTTTTTTTTATTTTATATGTATTATTGATTAAAAAAACAAAATTCATACCATGTTTTTATATGAAACATATATTAGATATGTTATTCCTATAAAATGCAATATTTACAGAATTTTATTAAAATATTTTTCCTAAAATAATAATTTATTAACCATTAATGATTTTTAACAATTTATATGTTTAGGATTCAAGTTTCTGAGGATTGGAATGCTTAACATCATAATATTTATATAAAAAATCTTCTTATAATTAAAACTTATGTATTAATTTCATGAATTATATTTAATTAATTTAAAAAAATATTGAGGTGTAATGATGTGTTATGTCAAATATAGTTAAATTTATGATTAATATTAATTAAAGTTTTTAATTTATATATTAAATTTATTTATGTATATATTCATTAAAGAACACTTTTTTATCTTATGAGTATTGTATAAATTTGTGGATTAAACAATTGCTGCATACAAATATAATATGAGGATAATTACAACTTCTTACTTCTTACATATTTTTCATGTATACATTATGACATTAATACTTATTTATATATAGTTACAAATAGCATACAATGCTTAAGTGAATAATAGTGTATGATTTGTGGAACCCTAATATTATGAAATAATTTATGTATTATATTTTTCTATATATATATTATTGCATGTATATGTGCCTCTTATTGCATTTTACATGTACATGAACTTTTGTATAAATCTTTTATGTTTTCATTTTTTTGTTAAATATATTAACAAAATGTAACACATGTAAGATAGTTCTAATAGCATTTTATATTATATATAATAGTTATGAATTATGTAGAATATCTTTTTACGGAATTCTATAATTATAAAATATTGAATGTACTATTTCATTATATTACATCATATTATTGTAAAAAAATATATATTTGTATTTTCATATATTTAATATTTCCATTTTTTTTAATTAAAAAATATAAAATGTATTCTCAAATGGAGAACATAGTTTTATATCTGAATAAATTTGCATAAATTTCGGTTGTATATTAAACGTATATCAAATTTTTATATATCTTATAAAATTTTATTCAAGTGTATACACTTATGTAGCATTCTATAACTTCTTTTCTTTAATATACATTTCTGAATTTATTATATGTATCAAAATTTTTAAAGAATAGTTCTATAAACACACTGGAAAAGAGCTGATAGCACAATATTTAAATGTAAATCAAATATTTCCAAAAACTCTTTATTATGACAATAATACAATGGGAATCTATACCATGTAATCTGTAAAAAAAATTCAAAATACATTTTATGAAATAATATAAGAAGGAAGTTATAAATACTAATACCTTCGGATATACACTAACCTCAAAATAGCGATAAAAATATCTATTCTAAAAAGCTTTATCAAGTATTGTTTATTCTATATATCTATAGTACAACAGAGCCTATTTGTAATGATTAAATGAACGTTATATATACCGAAAATGAAATGAATAAACTCTATGATATTTATGTGATTGTCTTAATAAATAATTATTTTGGATGACTCTTATTAATGTTCAAAGGAAAAAAAAGTCTTATTGGATCAAAAATGCTTTGATATATACATTTGAAACAAAAGATAAAATATAAATAGAATAAGAGCAAATTTTTTTGTAACGCATTAGAAGACTTTAGAAATGATTTTAATATATAAAGGAATGTTTATATGATTTCACAATTCAATATATATTGTTATCCTACTTCGAAAAAGGTAAGATAGTAATTCGTTCTTTTGATCTAATTATTATTAAATTAGTAATATTATTTATATTATTTATTGTGTATAAAGTTTTTAGGGATATTATGTATAATTAATTATTCTATAAATTCATAATTATAAATAATTTAAAAAGAAATTAATGATATATAAGTTATATAGATAATGCAAATGCTTTTTGTATTGCATATTATTTCGTCATATTTGATGTAACCTCGTGCCGTTGAATAGTAAGTAGAATTAAGAACTGCATTAATAACGAAGAAGAATGTGATATATTACAGGAATATTAAAAATCCTACAATATTTCAAAGAATGAGGAACATCATATACTATATAACTATTCCTAGTTATAGAATTAGGTATATAATTTGAAGAATATATTTTCTTTATATCGTATATAGGTATTGCATGCAAATAATTATGATAATTTTTCTCCTAATGTCCTCACCTAAAAATTCATTAAGTTTTATATAACATAAAAGAAAAATATATATAAATTACTTTATGTCATAATATTATTTCTAAAAATAGATAACATTTTCACATCCACAATATACTTATGTAGTTGATAAATAGTGATTGCTAATAATAGGAGCATATTTTCCATTTGTCTAGATAGATTGCAACGATGTTTAAATGAAAAGGGGGGTTTGGAATAATAAAATATAATGATATTATATATTTTATCATGTTTTATAATGTATTTAAAAAATATAAGTTGAGATATTATGTAAACAAAGTTATATAAATTTTTCATGTATATATATGTACATATATATACGGATATTATTTTATATAGCACTGTTGACAAATGTATTTCCATTAAATCACCATGTGTCTAAATAATAATAATAATGTGTTACATAATTCTTTATATTTGAATTAAGTATTTTTAGAGATATTGTTATGTGTCCTAATTTTTATGTTACAATATGATTAATTATGCTATACATGTATACAATTTATAATGGGATAAAATAATTGTAGAATTTCATTTAATTTTTACATTTTTTCTAGTTTTATTATATTTATTATTTTTTCCTATTTTTTTTCTGATTTTAATTCATATCAAGTGGATTTATATTATGTATATTTCTACTTTAGCATATATGATTTAGTATGGACACTCAAAAATATAAGAAAAATAAAATATAGGAGTTTTTAAAGTTGAATTTTTATGTTAATAATTGTGTTATATATATAAAATAAATGTTTTCCCTGAAATTATGTACATTTTTTAAGCCATCATCTTTTATCGAATATTATATTTTTATATATATAGATACAGAATGAAGGAAAAAAATATATATTATAGTATTTTACATATAACATGTACATTGTGTATTTTAGCTTAATAACATGAAGAATACTGGCGTTTGTTTTGTATTATATAAACTTTGGACAATTTCAATTCACATATATATAGTGCATTTATGAAAACGGCAAATATGAAATAAAAATAATAATACTTTGTTAATGAAATAGAATACGCAAAAAAATAAAGTACTATTTATATCAGTGCAAAAAATTAAAATTTTTTTTTCGAAATATATGTACTTGTTTTTTCATTATATTTTTGCTCTTTTTTATTTTTTTAAAAGTCATTAAATTTATACACACTTATAGTATGTTCATAATCAAAATATATAATTATAAGAACATTGTACATTTCTAAAAAAAAAAAAAATTATTAGTTATAAAATTATTGTATAAGAACACTAATGCAATTATTTCTTTAATATATAAATGTAATAGCATATATACTATTTTTAGCTACTCGTCTTATAATACCCTTATTGAGGTGTAACTTGCACTTTGTTCTATGATTTCTTAATACAGCTTTCAAAATGTTATATATGATTTTACACTTATTTATGCCCTAATAATTTTATTTTTTTCATCATTTTTATTTTATAATTGTGTTTGAATCATCAAATGTACACTTAAAATATAAAAATCGCTCAGAATTCAAATGATATCAATAGAAATATTTTTAACATTTATTTTTACAAAAACCGGATATAATAGTATTAGTTTTCAATATATTATATACAGTTAAAAAATAATATTCACCATAATAATGATTTTAATACCTTTGAAAATAAATTTTTATAGTTTCTTTATAAATTATTATTAGAATTACCATTTAACATATATTATGACATTATGTTACAAGCTCGTTACCTGTTTTTGTGCTAAGATTGCATTGAATTTGATTGTTCATTATTATTATTCTTCATTTTAATATATTTATCTGCATAAGTTAATGTATTGGTATTTTACATAGCCGTAGTTATAATATTATATAAATATAAATTTTTAAATTGCAGTTTCATTTCTTGCATAAGGTTCGTTCTTGCATTAGGAATACTAAAATATTCAAAGCTTATATAGTCATGCTGAATATTTTTCAATTATTTATTTTATATGAACCCTATTCTATATAATATTATGCAATTTAATATATGAATAAATAATGTACATAATGAATAAGTGTAACAAATATTTGTAAATTTTTTCATTAGAATGTAAGTACCATTTTTTGAAAATATATATTTATTTTTGTTTAATATCAATGTATTATTTATCCACTAAGTCATAAAAAATTTTTAATATTGTTTGTTTACGTATTAATATAACCTCGATTGTAAAATGTTCTTTTATTCATAGAGCGCAATATGAGCTTGAGTATTTATATTAATGTGAAATGTAATGCTTTAATTTTTATTTTATTGGAATAAAAATTTTTCTTTATCTGTATATTCTTTATAAATCCTATTTTTAATTTAATATATATTAATATTGGTTACATTAAGAAATTATGATGTTCACATAATATACACATATATTCGTTCGAATTATTGCATTTTCTTGGGGTCATGTTACATTTAACTGATATTTTTTATATTTATTCGTGCAAATTTTTATACTTACATGTAAAATACATTTTATGAATAACATATATAATAATTCTATGAGATATAATATTATTCATATATTGGGGATTCATAATATTTTTCTCTTATGTATGTTAAGTTGTTTATATCATAAAATTACTTTTCTATATTATATAAATATTATTATGTTTTATTATTTCATTCAATTTATGTATATTATGATGATTTTGTATGTTTATGTTATATAAGGGCGTTATTTAATATTTTTATGATACCACATATTCGATAGCTTGTTGTCCTTTCATGGTCACAACTGAATGAATATTTAAAATGATTCATAATATTTATGGTAATAAACACTATTTGAATACAATATTATAATTTTTATATTCATAAATTTGTATATGCTATATCATATATCTGATTATGTGAATTTATATTCATATTATCTGGCATTTGATAGAATAACTCTTTTTCCTCATCTTCAACATAATTATTTCTTGTTATTTTTACTTTTTGTCTGGAACGAAACAAGCTACGAACTGGGGTGAACTTATAAAAAAAAAAATAATAATATTATATAATTGTAAATACTTTATATATTTTTTTTATTTATTAGGAATACATAATGTAAAAAATTGCTTGCACTCTTTTTCATATTATCTAAGGAAAATTATATTCACCTTGTAAAATAACAGCAAAATGGAAGTTCCTCCGGAAATTGTAGCAATAACCGTGAATAACAATTTTATTGTGGAAAACAATGAATTATTATGTTCATGCTCTTTTGATGAGATAAATTCATCACCATTTCCGAACAAGCGAGAATCAACAGCTTCTTCAGATGCTAATATTTCTATATCATGTGTTATTTGTAATGTTTTTATTTTATCAGTCGATTTACATCCAATAAAATTAACACTATTGTCAGATGATAATGATGGTATTTTATTTTTTAGTTTTTCGTTATTACATATATATATATTATAAGAATTAATAAAACTCTCTAGATATGAACATGTATTTATTTTTTTCCTATCCTTTTTATTCTCCTTAAAACAATACTTGTAATTCATATGTTCATATATATTTAGAACCTTCTTAATAAAATCTACGCTTAATTTGTTAAAATATTCATTATTCTTAAATATACTCACAATAGTATGCATATTGTACCCAAAAATATTTAGCTTTACAATATTAATCGGTTCTACATAGTTTTTATCGTAATTATAATATGGACACATATTTTTATAGTATAATTTATGAGTTATACTATTCATACGATAGAACAAAAGATTAATAAATCCATTAAATATATTATATTTTTTCATAGAATTGTACAACCAATCATTTAAAATTTGACAATTAGGCTGAATGTTGCATTCGTTTGTACCACTGCAAAATATATTCAAATTCCTGGCAAGTTTTTTACACAATTCATAATACTGTTGGTTTTTAATTTTCAAATTACTCACAATTTGTTCGCATAATTTCCTATATAATATGTTATGATCATTTTCTTCCACAGTTTCATCAAGTTTATCATATAATTTACATGACTCACTTAAAAAGGGATACTAAAGTTACAAAAAAAAATACATAAAATTTATAATAATAAATTCATATTCTAATGTTCCAATGCACTATATAAAGTACAAAATGTTGTATATATCACAATATCATTTTATGAAAAATTAAGCAAAAGAACTAACATTTCTACCCAGCAGATTTATATCCAATACATTTCCTTCCATGTTAATTTAACGTAATGTTCAATTCTATATTGATCTATATAACTATAAAAAAATTATAAAATAATATACAAAAGTTTTAAATTTAACATTTATAAATAATAATATATGTAAAAATCTTTATAAATAAATAGTACATAATTCTTTTATAGATTAAGATAGTAGTAATAATATGAAATATAGACATATAACCTTCCAAGCTATATATCATAATAAGGCGTTGCAAAGGATTATTAAATAAATATGTTTTGTTAGGTCAAATTAATAACAATATAAATACTATATATAGATTTTTCCAAAAAAAATAAAATAACTGTGCATAAGAATGTATATAATTTGTTACGCATATTATATTTAACATAAAACGTATAATCATAGAATTTTATTTATAAATAGACTTGTTAATAAATATAACGAAAAATATATTCGAACAAAAATATTATTAGCTTAAAAAAATAATTTATCATGGATTATATTTTGTTAGATTGCTAGCATTATGTAATATTTTTGAAAAAAGTATAATTTACATAGGAAATAAATAGATGATTATTATACCTCAATAATGTAAAATCAATTACACTCTAAAAAAACTTAAAACATATTAAGCCATTTAAAAATTATAATAATAAAGTTTAGGATCTTCTGCAGATTTAATAATGAATCCATAATTGCATAATTCTTATATTTCATAAAAAAATCTAACAATGAATTTATTCTATCATTTTTTTTTTTCTACAAGATTTTATTTATCATCTAATATAAGCAATGATTTAACATAGTCCAATTGTCCAAATTTAATTTTAAACAATATACTATTTTCAAAATTATACAGTTTGTAATACAAATTATGCTTAACACATATTATATTAGGTTGATACAATATATGCATCTTCAAAAAAGAAAAAAAATACAAAATTAATAAGACATAGAATTTTACATGAAGAATAAATTTTTATATATTTAAATTATATCTATATAAGAATATATTTTCCCATAAAAGGATATATTTATTTAAATATTTCTCTATTCTTCACACATAATTCTAAACTGATGGAAAAATAATACACGATAAGTTATCTACTATTCTCACAGGACAGCAATTTTTCGTTTTCATATAATATAGTAGCAATCAGTTATATATGATATGAATATTAATATATATATATCATGAAAAAATATATAAAAAAAAATAAACAAGTACTTGGTTAAATATGTAAAATTCATTTCATTCCTAATCATTAATCAAAACATAATAAAAATAAAGGCATCTTAATTAAGAATCATACTATGGTTAAGGCTGTAATAATTTCATTACAAACAAAGCAAAAAAATAGTTAAGCTTCTTAAATTGTATTTAAAATATTATAAATGAATTTTATTTATGTATTCAAAAAATATATAACATGAAGTTAATTTAATATAATTAAGCATATGATAAGAGATTCAAATATAGTTTTATACTATAAATATACATGCTCATTAAATACATATTCATATATTAAGCATAATTTTATTGAACTTTGAAATATTATTATTGTGGATTATATATAATATTACAATTTTAATTATATATAATGCGTATGAAGTTTTTATACAACTAATGCTTTATTATTTATTATGACTAATATTATAATAATTTAACCGAATAATAGCAATGTAGTCCATAAGATACTAAATATATTATGTGGCACACGTTATTTTTAATTTAAGATTATTCTATAATAAAATACATTTTATGACTTGTTACATAATCAAATATTACTCAAATTTCTAGGCATTAAATAAAATTAAATTATATATAGGCATTATTTGACATTATCGGATTAAATATATGTAATAAAGAATATATATTAGATATATCACATTTGACAAATAAAAAAGAATAATAGTTAGATATTTACTATTACTATTATCACCTTTGTCTTAACACATATAACATTTTAGAATTCATTTAATACATTCCATAAAATTTAACATTTCAAATAGAATGTATATTAACAATTTATACAACAAAATAAATATTTTACACAATAAATCATACTAATTTATACGAAATATATATGATTTTCTTGTTGACATAATATGTTTGAATAAAAAAATTATTTAGTCTGCATTTTTATAAAAATTAATAAATAGTTAATAATATAAGTCCTTAAAAAAATGATTTAATATTTATATAAATTATCATTAGTAAAAAATTATAATTTATTTATAAAATGAATTATGTTAAGTGTAGTGTTTAATTATATTTTTTAGTAAAATTTTTATAGATGTATACTGCATCACAGAATATTTGTTAAACATATTATTAAACTTAATTATAGCTAGTTAGAAAACTTGCTTATTCATTCTATAATAAACTCATGCCAGTGTAAATTTGCTAAAATTGCACGCATTTCAAAAATATATAAATTAATTTTTTTATGATACATGTTACTTTGAGAATAATAAGTAGATATGTTAATATATAAGGGGGAAATTTTATCGTTTATTATTAATAATTATATGCTGTAAAATACAAAGGATTTTTGCAAAACTTATGGGGAAGTATAAAGTTAACTATTAATGCTCATTATATTACATTAAAAAAATAGAAAAAAAAAATGTACGCATATATAATAATAGTAATATGAATGAAAAATTACACATTTAAAAAAATTAATAAATGTTTCATTGAAAAAAAACACATCTTGCTCTTAATATTACATGCTAAGTAATGTTGCATATATTTTTTGTTCTGTGCAGTTCTAAATGTATACCCTATGTTAACATTTATTTATATAATTCCATATGTGATGTAATTTCATATAAGTATAATAGATAAGAAAAAATATACATTTATATATCCTTATTTAGAAATATTCTTTTTTACATTAAGAATAATGTTAAAGAATTCAAAATAAAATAATAACTGTCCATTTCTTTATTGTTTATTTATACCGGATGTAGTAAGGATGTGGTGTAAAAATTTGAAATGATAATAATATATTTATATATTATTTTTTTCAAAAAATGTTGTGACAAAAATAAATTTATATAATAATATAAAGTATTTATACATTATAAAAGCCATAAGTGTTTCATTACACTAATATGAAAACCATGAAAGTTGTGCCTCATGTCTACAATAGGCATTGAATACTGAATAATAATTAAAATATATGTTATATTTTTTGAAAAATATTTATTTTTTAAAATATATATATATACATTAAAAAGAATAACATACATCTCCATTATGCTTTAAATTTTTTTAACATAATTTTGATGTCGTACATATTTCATATCATTTGGTATTATTAAATTTTTAAAAATATATTGTGAAACTCAATTCATGTATATTTAAATATAATATTATAGAGCTCTATTATCCTTTTAAATGGATAATACACAAATATTTTCGTCTATAAAGAACTTCGTTTATTTATATTTACCAGTATTTTTCATCTACTCAGTGACCTTACTATATTTTATTTAGTAATATGCTATTAATTCTTGCTATAAAATATATTTATGCAGTGGAATACAAGCTTGTATTTATCAAGTCATATATTTCAATGATTATTTTTTAAATTATTATTCATGAATATTGTTTTAATTCACTTATTTTGGTGCGTCTACATAGCAATGACATCAGAACTTATAGCTATATTTATCTAAGCCATATTATGAGTAATATATATAATCAAAATAATTTATTATTTTGATAACACAAATTATTTAATGTCCTATGATACTTATTTTTTGTAGTTATATATTAATTTATACAATAAATTGTCATAATGGAATCTTCCGCAAGCGAAATGGACGTATATATAAAACAAAATTGGTATTTTTTATATTCATGGAGGACTAAATATTAAAATAAGAAAAAAATAGTTAAACGTCATTGTATTCTTAATCAGTTTCTGATTGTACGGGAATGAAGGGTATAATGCCCTATTATATCACCCATATGGGATTTATTATTTGTGTATTAAGCTACAATTATATTAATTACAGGAACAACATTTTATTATGTATTCTATATAGCAATTATTAAGAAATATATAATATTTGTGTTTTGTGCACTATGCATTATGTTGAAATGTAGTACACCCAAAATATCACACGAGATATATGCTCATGAAATTTATTTTTAT